AGATCTGGTTGCTATACAACATACAGGAATATTGGTGTTTATACTAAAGTTTCAACACTGAAATATACAAGTCTCATATAAAGTGTTAGCTTACAGAATAAAATCAATGCTGGTAATAATAAAAAATGGTATTATTACAAACAACAAAATGATTTCATATGGTTCAATTACATATATACCACAAAAATGGCATTGGAAAAAAAAACTGTTCCATTAATACTTCATGATGTTCTGTAAACACAATCAAAAAGAAATTACTTCAAATATCTTGTTTATTATACATCTGGAGCTTAGCTAAAAAGTAGAACAAACACCTGAATAATGTTTTAAATTTCATAAATTCTATCACTGCAAACGTTTTGGGATTCCTTTTGAAAAAATGCTTAATTGAGAAATTTGACAACAGTTACTACATCCAGAACAGGTATGTTCTTCACCCGGAACCTAATTCATGCACTGTGGGTGGAATTTGACATGATCTGTCATCCCTATAGGCCAGGCCCTAACCAGATATCCGAGGTCCCACTGCTCAGGGTTGGAATTATAGGGCCATACTTCCTAAATCCCACATTGGTGGCTATGGCATTTGAAGCACAATATATAGGTAAGCAACACAGAAGTGGACAAAGCTTCTCCTCAATTCAAAGTCCAAAAGGCAACATGCCACACTCGGAATGACAGGATCCTGTATGCCATACTCAACCTGAGGAAACATAACTCATCCAGCCTGGATTTATGAACACTCATCCTCACTTCCCAACCATGTGGACAAGGTAAATTACACTTGCCACCAGAATTATGGGAAGGACATGGAACAAACTGTGCTCAACCAAGGACCCAGGACGGGACCACTCTGCATTTGGAATTACGAGGAGACAATGGACCCTCTTTTATGAACAATGTACTGAACCAATATTGATCAAAAAGAAGGGCCACACTCAATCCAACCAGATAGCTGAGCATCAAATCTGAACCAGTTTTAAGAGTAGGTTATCAAGTACTCTGGTGCCTCTCCTACCGACATCTGGGAAATACAGAGACCCAAGTAGGAGGACCCCCAACTTTACCCTCTTCTTGAAGAGTGGAAGAAAGTAATTTGAACACTCTGGAGAAATAGCCCCTGTCCATCACTCCAGCAACTGGAAACCAGGCATGTTACGGACTCCCTACCTCAACTAGTAGGAAATGAGGGGGTACTGCACATTAGGGAGTCCCAAGCTTCGGAAACAGTGCAATAGGTGAACAAATTCCCTAAATTTTTAAAAGCAAACCGACCCTAATTTATTAAATTCAATGATCAGCAAGGACAGGCAGGATCCCCTTATGCTTTATTCATGATAGCTGATGAGTGGCAGTCCAGCTTTGTACAGTAATACTACCTGGCCTACCTCTAGGTGGTCTTATGGTACACCCAATTTCTACAGAGCCTGTTGCAACCTAGATAAAGTATACTGTGCGAGTGGTTGCTAGTGCAGAATTAGTTTGATAAAAGCACAATTGCCTGGGCAACTTTCACCACAGAGTGGAATTCTGTGAAAAAGAGGTAAGGGACCCTGAAAAATAAAGAGGAGACAATATTAGTAATGAAGATACTCACACCTTCTTACAATTTAGCAGATGTGGTTAAGAAAGCTACTGGGGAGTAGTAAAAAACCTTCAGAGAAATATACTGCCAGATCATGCAAATAATGTGAGATAAAAGTATTGGAGGAGGTCCACATACTGCCCCATGCAATGTCCTCCAGTGGGCAAATCAACCAGACTGTGAAAGATGTGGAAATGCAATGAATCCAAAGAGAGCCCAGAATAAGTGATCAGAATCAATTTCCTACCCACCTCGACAAAGTAACCGGAAAACTGAAAGATCCTAATGAATAAAAAGTCATTGTCTAAGCAATAGTGCAGGCAACATAACATTTAAAGTCCCTCACTAAACATAACAAACAATTGAGATCCAACCAACAACAGATGTGTGAAATAGTGGTCAAATGAATTGGTGAAAAGGACTTATCCCCTTCACTGGCTGCCAGTGTTTTAGGGAAAAAGAACCTGTGTGAGTATAGGAGTATGTAGGTAGAATGATAAAGCATCCTGTACACAATCAGTGCAAACAACTCCGACCAGTGACGTCTGCAGGTCAGCAGCACTCTCTCCACTGCTCCCTAGACCAATAAAACTCTGATAACCATAAAACAAAGTTCCAAAATCCAAGAAGGAGGCAAAAACACTGCAGGTTGGGTGAATAATGGTGGTGAAGATGTGAACTGAATCACTAATCCTGACTCAAGGACATGTAGTACCCATGGATCTGTGGTAAAGGTTTTCCACATGTCCAGAAATTCTCAAAGCTGAGCTCTCACAAACCCCAAAGGCTTACAATAGTCACAGCAGCTGCTGTTGCCATTCCACCCAAGCAGAGGAACATCTTGAATCTGGACAGAATCTATTCTGGGTACTAATGAACTGATGTTGGGATGCTCAAATAGGGGCAGAACAATAAACCCCTGTATGAGCCAAGGAAAGTTGAGATTCCAATGATGACAGGGATGAATGCAGACGTGTGACATCAACTCTAGATTCTGAAGATTCTAGAATTATGCAAAATCATAGTTTGGAGAAAAGGGGGCCTCACAGAACTCAGAGGGTGGCAGTCAGCAGACAAACGCCCTCCAACAAAGCATCTCTACCCCACACATCCAGATGGTACAATGTTCCCAACTTGTCATCAAGTTGACCTGGTGATCTCCAAGTGTTTTTCGACAAAAGTTTGGGGGATAATAAATATCATAGGACTGTATGTAGGGTGTGACAAATTCTAGAAGATTATGCTCTAATGAGGATGACAACAGACTCTGTTCTAGAACCCCAAATTTCCTGGAGCTAGTCTATTCTTTGCGAGTCAGAATACGCATCCATCTCATGGTGGTAGGCTAAATCACATAGTTCCAACAAACATAGTGGACAAGGCATATCTGTCCCTCCATATAACTGAGCAGCATGAACTGCAATATCAGTTGATGGAGGGAGAACTAAGTATTTGCCCTTGGACCTTTCAGCCATCAAGGAAGGAACAGGCTCAAATGCAACTGGGGAAAACCCAAACATCACACACTCTATGGACTAACTAATGAAATGGAGCTGGAGGGAGCTGATCCCAATGTAATCTCCTGAGAAGCTAACAGAATAAAGGAAAGCACAGGAAAAGCAAATCAATTCTCTCTAGAATGCCCAGGATCAGCTTCAGAGCCCCCTGAAGAAACACCCACACCCCCATACTTAATATATGTCTCCATCTCACTACAAAGAAGATCTCAGACAGTCTTAACTGAGAGTGACTCTACCCCCCTCCTCCCCAACTGTCAAGCGATGCTAGATATCAGATGTGGGATAGGAGAAACCTAGTTTGCCTCCAAGCCAGAAATAATAATCCAGGAATTCATGCCATATATCAGCATGCCAAATAAATTTTGCTTTATACGAAAAAACTGATTAATAAAGGCTGTCACGAAAAAGTGATAATGTTATCAAAAGCAGGTGTTTATATGCAGTACCAAGATATAGGGTGCATTGACGTAGGTGGAAAGCGTCATGAGACAGATATCGCCAAAGGCAGTTAAGTGGGAAATAAAAGACTGGAGCAAGCAAATAAAAATCAGATCAATGTTTAGATGGGCATAGTACAGTGTAAGAAATATTAGTCCTTATGAAAAGGAAATCAAAGCATCATTGTATGTGGTGTTGTTGATAAGTTCCACAAACTTTCAGCTGAGCAAATACTCACATAAATATAGGCAGACAACAAATTTAAGTACATACTTCAATCAGTTTCTGATATAAAGAGCTATATCACTCAACTGTTTGGTAATTAGAAGCAGTAGTGTGAAATCTCTTTGATCAACTGGCAAGAAAGTACTGTACATAGAGGTGAAAATATTATGAACATTTCAGGGTGGGATAGAGATCCCCTTGTCAGTGATACAACAACAATACTTGTAAGTTTGCACTTATAGCACCATACTGCCAAATGAAACTCACACAAGCAACAGTACTGCATATTTCTGAACCCCAAAGGTTAGGCATGAAGATGTGACCAAAATATACGAGGATGTTTTACTTAACCATTTCATAGAGCTGTTAAAAAACTTTGACACATCAGAAGCGGTTGCTTGGTTAAAAGCAGACTCCCCTAACTATAAGACCAGCAAATCTGATCAAATATCACACTGCTTCACAGTATACCTAAGATAACTGGCAAACTTTGTACTGTGGATGTTTTAATACATATTTTGTTTACTTATTTTACTAATATAGTTTTTCTGTCATAGAAACCAAGTTACTAATAGTCTTTCTATGTACATAGTGGTTATGAATACACAATATTTATTTTTTGCTTACTTTAGCATAAATGTGCATGTTTTAAACTCAAAACAACCAACAATGTGTTTTTATATTCAAATTAACTCTAAGTCTAATTCTCATCTAGTACTTTCTGGCCAGACATTCCTCTGAAAAAGTAATGACCACCTTGGGAGGGGGTTCCATGTTTGAAATGAAGTATCTCCATGACCAAAATGTACACTTAAGACTTTCTGAATACTTTTTTTTTTCATTTTTACACATATTAGACCTTAATCACTACATCAAAACAGTTCTCTATAATTTGCA